AACTGTAGTGTGGAGATGAATCAAGGCCTCGGTGTGAGGCTGAGGTAGAGGACAGTTGCTGAACAGTCCATACTCTATTACCCCCTTAAACAATACTCAGAACCAGGTAACAGTGGCTATAGAGTGATAAGACAATAGATGTTTCAAGGATAGAAGATTTCTATTCAAAGGAGGACATGGAGGCAGTTACTTCAGTGTTCACTTCATGCAGAGTTGTTTATGTTTACTCCTGTATCCATAACATATTTTATGTATGTGTTCAAACAGAAAAATTATGACTATTAAAATTAGAAGCATCTCTTTATGGAAGTTTCTATATCAAAACTTTCCTCATGGTGTTGTCTTAGCTGCTTAACTCACACCCATTTGAATATTTTCCAACTAAAGTTTGGCAATCCACTAAAATGTCTCATCCCTCCACACAACTTTTCTTTTCTTTCCTTTTCTCTATCATTTGGAATGGAGTCCAGGGGCCTTGTGGAACCAAGCAACTACTCTACTACTGTGCTGTACCCTTTCTACATTATTGCTGCTTTTTTGATGAACTGGAACCAATTTAGTTTGACATTTAAAAAATTAAATATTCATAAAAATTGTTGATATGTCCAAAATAGTTCACTAACACTTAAATTTACTGTATCTAAGTAAACAGAAACTAGGTAAAATAGTGGAAACAGTTCTTGTATTGCTACTCCTGTGGAGAGCAATGGTCTTATCTGAGTTTACCCAAAAGTTATAAAGTTTGCCTTATTAAATATTTTTCTGAGGGAAGTGCTCAGATTCACTTATTGAGTGAGATTGTTTAAAAGTTAAGTTCAGGAAATGAAGTACTTACAACACTTCCAAAATTTGTTTAGAAGCCCCAATACCATTTCAGGTCTTGACCAAAAGAATCACAAAACTGTAGTCATGTTTGGTTTGTCCTTTTTTCCTGCAATTACATCATACAAATCCACGAGTCTCGTGGAGGTGAACTGAAGTCTACTGGCCACATGGATGTACTCATTTTTTTTTTCAGTAGCTGCTGGGGGCAGTCTGAAGCCAGCTAAAGACCAGGTGCAGATATGAAATAATTCACTCCTCTCTCACTTTGTTTCTCATTGTACTTTTATGAGTCTATTTCTCTGCCCCATGTTTTCTCTGCTTTTTTTTTTTGAAAGAACAGCAGTGTAGGTTTCCAGATTTGATTTGACATGGCCACTTATACACACTGAGGAGTCAACTGAGTAATATGTTCCTAAGCACTTTCATAAAAATTAGAATTCAGAACAAGTAAGGAACATGGCTAACAGACTAGGATTTCCTCAAGAAGTCAGTTGCTTAGCCAAGCGCTTAATGTACATAATCTACCTTCTCTCTTCTTATTCCTGGTGGATTTTGCAGGGAGAATCATATTTGAAGTTTGATTAAATTGTTGAAATCTTGAGGACACGGTTAAGAACTAACACATTTACTCAAAAGACTTTCCTAGAACATCTGGGAAAGTGTGAGGTTAGAACTGGATAGATGACAAGAAAGGACACCCGATGTGACTTAAAACTTTCCAAAAGAAAAAGGAGAAAGAAACTGGAGAAGACATTCTAAGGAAATCAGTAGAGACATTGGCAGGAGAACTGCTCACTGCAGAGTGTGAATGAGCAGCATTGCACAGGACAACAAAAGGAAAATATATCAAATGGAGGATAGAATCTGAGCAAAAGTTTGGAGGGTAGTAAAGAATTAAAGGTAGGAGGCAAAAGAATTAAATTCAGTAATTAAGAAAAAAGGTTAGAGTGATAAACTAAAGAGGTCATTATGAGTCAGGGAGTGAGGCCAAAGAAAAGTTTCAGAGTTGGTCAAAGATTCAAGGAATATGGCGGCCTCTGGCTGACAAAACAGCTGAGCAGAGGAGCACTCAGTGGTAGGTCATTCATTTTCTTCTTGTCTTAGATGACTTCTAGATATTGGACTAAGACACTCCAGGGTTCTGGGCTAGGGTGTGGGGGTCTCCAACCCCAGTACCACTTCCTAAAAACTTGCATAGTAGCCCAGCTCATCTAGAACACAGGGTCTTTAGTACAAGACTGACTACCAAGGAGTTGGATACAGATGGCACATAATGGTCCCACAAATATTGGTTCTCTCAACTTAATAGTCTGTACAGCTCTTTTAGTAAAATGAATGATCTGTTTCTTTAAAGAACTCACATAACATAGAAATTTGGGAACTGACCACTAAAGAGTTTAGAAAAACTACTGATGGAAAAGGGTCAAAGGTCCACGATGGTGGGTAAGCATGAAGAGCCTTGAGCATGACTGTAGCTGTGCTTTGAGTACTCCTACATCAATTTGCTCATGTCATCACCCCTTCATTGTTTTAATTTACTTGTTTACTATGCCGTGCTAGTGTGTTGAACAGGGGGCTCTTGAACTTATTTGTTGCTATACTACCAATCGATATCATTGGTTTCCATTTTCTTCTTGTGTAAAATAAACTAATATATTTCTAAAGTAAAGGACTCCAGGGACATTATTGGCATAAAATTGACACAAAAATGTTACTGTGGTGGGGAGCGAGCACTGGGTAGTCTGACTTTCTTTCCAATGTGTATCAAAACATCTTTCAGAACAGTGGGATCATGCTTGGAACTGAAGGGTTTTGTTTGCTTGTTTGTTGTTTTGGGCACTAATGAACTCAGCTGTTCTTCCATAACTCTACAGCGCCTCCAGAGCACAGCTACCGCATTACAAGCAGTACAATGCTCAGTTCACATTCAGGGACAGGGAGGCTTTCTGTGGATTGTTTTTTTTTGACACACTGCATTTCAATAGAATGTCTCTGAGTTTTGTGCTATCTCTTTGGTGTAAAATATTTAATTATCTCTTTTGCAGAAATGATTCATTTTATTATGTATTGCCAGCCAGCATATTTTCTCAATGCAACAGCTGTGCATGGCTCAAGCTACTTCTCAAGTGGACAGAGATCTTGCTCTTTCCTAATCCCTGTTAGACAGTTTGTTTCTAGGTAATAAAGTCATTTCCAATCAGATTGCCAATTGGAATTGCATTAGTTCATAACACTAGTGGGTAGGGAAAAAAAAGAGGATCACATTTAGCTTTTATAATATCTTTTAAGACGATGAAGGTGATGCCATATCTCCATGCATGGTTCGGTCAGTATAATTTAAAAGTGCAAGTCCTTTAGGAGTGAGAGGTTTTAGAACTGATATCAAGCCCCATGCAATACTCTAATCAGGCTGGAAGGAAGACAGTGCTGTGTTGTGATGGCCGCACAAGTCAATGCATAGCTTGAAAACTGAGACAAGCATACTTAGTCTGACTTTCTTTTCTGAACAAATCAAAACACAGGGATTAAAAAAAAAAAAAACAGTGCTAGTGCTGAGCCAGGCTAAGTGCTGCCCAGTCCACACCCTTCCCTGAACTTCTGAGAGAGCTAGAAGAGTCTTATATAAGCATGGTCTGATCACAAAGGAAGCTTGGTAGACAAAGGCAGGCATGGCAGGATCTCTCTGCTGTGGGAACACTATCTGGTACCAGTGTACTCTGAGCAAACCTCTGGCACATAAGGCCTGGGACACAGGACTGTTAAAGTTTCAATTTTATACATAATAAATGAGCCATGTTCTTCAGTGCATCATAGTTATTTTCTTGATTGTGTACACAATTCCTTAATGCTAAGCCAGAGATCCTGATCTTTCTCACTTTCCACCCAAAAGTGAGCACTTCAGTGTGTCTCCACAGATCTGCAGACCCTGGCTAAGCAGTACTGCGTGCAGACAGACCTAATTTAAGAATTCAAGCTTCTGTCTCTGCTAACACATTGACTCATAGAAACCAGGCTAGAAAGGGGAGTGAGGTACAGGTCAAAATGCAGAGCCATTGTGCAGGTACCCTGTGACTAATGTTCCCATCTCAGGCAGGAAGCAGCTTGGGCAGGTCTGAGTGTGCTGTGAATTGGACCGGTCCCTCTTGGGGACACACATTTGTGCTGTCAAGGGAAGAATAAGCTGTGAGTAGAGAGGAAAGGGGACTAAGAAATTGTCCGGCAACCATCTAACCCAGCCAGGATAGCTGTGGCAGTAGGAACAGGGCCGAGAGCCTTCTAGAGAAAACCAGCATGAAGGTGAGGTGAACCAGACTCAGTGTGAAGAGGAGACAAGAGGTGCCTGCGGGTTGGGATCCGTCACCGCCAGGCACTAGGCAGACAGCAAAGGGCCAGCTTCTTTAAGGCCATCACAGCCTAAGACTGATTCATAGCTGTTGGCTTTTGTTCAAACGTGTGGACAGTTCTGCTTTCCCTTAGCATTTTCAACACTGTTTGTGGACATAGCTATTCTTTACAAGTTTGCAAAAAACTGTTATATATCATCTCAATTATCATGCAGAGCATGCACAAAAAGTGACTTGAGAGACCACCAAAGCCATCAAATGCACATGACAGCAACTTAATCAAAGCTCAGCAAGCACAGAAGAGCAGAAGACAGCTTCTCTGGCTATGAATAGTTGGAGAAAAAATGGCAGTGAATCCTCACAGGCCATGGTAACCATAACCAAACACCATTCAGAGAAGACCACGTATAAAGGGCCGAGAAGGCAGCATGGACCTCTGTTGTACTGAATAACCAAAACTGAACTGAACCCTGGATGAGGAGAAGGTGGCTAGCTCCTGGGAGAACATCTCTTATCACCCCTGTCCTTTCCTTTATCTCCAAGGCCATCAACAGCCTCTTCTCTAACTTTATTTATGACATCAAACAGGGACAGCTATTTACTCATGCACTGTCATATCTTCCACAGCATAACCTGGGCATCATCTTTTTCTCAGGTGGCCCTTTCTCCTTATCACACGTACCAATACGTTTTATATATAAGCTAAAGGAATTCATGTTATGGTCAATTCCTGACGATACATGCAAGCCAACCAGCATACACTTCACTAAGAGACCACACCGTCAGTGCAGTCAGTATCCTAAAGGGACTGAGATTGGACACAGGAGTCACCTGTGGCGAAGACAACATTCCTGGAGACCAGACGGTGCTCCACAATGGAGAACTGTGGGAGCTCGATCCTTTCCACGCCAGTGACAGCCTTGTCCCCGCCACGCCAGTAAAATTCAATGTCATCCGTAGTGTAGCCATCTACCAGGAGAGAGAAGCAGGGACATGATGGATAGGAGACATTGTCACGTTATAACAACGAATAGCCTAAGAAATTATCTTTGTTAAAAGGAAATAATGACTCTATTAGATTTTTAAAAATTATTTAATGTGCACAACTGTGAGAAACGTGAATAAATTAGCTTTCGGGTATTTGTATGTTGCCCCAGCAGTCTAATTTGTACCAGGATGGTTCTGAAAGGCAGATAGCTGGGCTTGTAGGAGATGAGAGCTTGGGCCAGAGTTCTAAGTGCCAAGTACAATATTACAGACACCTAGATAAAACCCAGTTGAGTATTTACACATATTTGCAGTATGAAATAAAATGGTTGGAGAAGGCAGGTTTGGAGGATTCTGGGATGGCTACAGAGACTAAGGACCAACTTTTCCAATCTCGGCTTAGTGACAAGAGCTCTATTAAGGTGCCTGCTCAGTTCAGAAATCCTCTTTGCTGGGAGACTCTTGGCTGAACTACACTGGCACAGGTACCCTCATCATAAAAAGGGTGATTACACTAAAGGCTGTATCTCTCACCCAACTCTGGGGACAGTTCTTACATTCACCAGAAAGGCACTCAAGAATGAGTGCATCAATGGGAAACAAAGCGTAGTCTTAGCTAACCTCCCAGGAGTCTTCCAGGAGATCACAGCAAATTATGTGCTTCCTCCCTCCCTCCCTTCTTTCCTCCCTCCCTCCCTCCTCCTTTTTCCCCCCTCTCTGTATTCTTTATTTTTATTTGTCGCTTTTATTCTCCCTCTCTTCATCTCACTCCTACCCTCTTCTCCCTTTACTTTCCCCTCCATCTTCCCCTTTCTGTCTTTTCAACCTTCCGTTATTTCCTTTCTCCCCCTCTTTCCTGTCTTCCCTCGGAGTAAGGTCTCACAACTCAACATTAGATGTCCTATACCATTTTCTTAGAGCTGGAATTACAGACTATCACATCCCTTTTGGTTTTTCAATTAGACCAATAAAGCACAAATCTGATGAAAAATAGCATTGCAATGTAACAGGATTTGGGATCTGAACATATATAAAGAAAATCTATCTGATGCTCTCCTGGCTCAGTTCCTCAGTATTGACTGCTCCTGTAGTGGTTATCACAACCCTAAAGCACTTTGTTGTCCCTCTGTGTAGACCACAGTGTAGCACTTACTACATAGTACCTTCCTTCTGACTTTCAGGCCTGATGATGCCTTCTCTAATAAAATACTCACCCGATTACACCACTCCAAAGCTAAAGCTCTCAATTGTTTTCTATGCAACGGGCAAAACAAGCCCAATCTTTTCACAAGGACCCCAAGAACACACCAGACCCACCCCAGTGTGATGCTCCTCCCTCTCCCATTACCAGTTAGTATACAGGCGTCTTACAGCTGAGAGCAGCTCCTGTGCCCAGGGTAGCTGTGCTCTCTGCAGAAGCGTATCCCAGGAGCTCATCCTTCTCCAGGTCACACTGTGAGCTACTCAACACTTTCTGCAGAAACTGTCCATGAGATCCCACCTCCTGAGCCACCCCACAATCACCCATAATCCTTTGTTCTTCAAGACACTTATGGCTCGTTTTTTGTCTGTTTCTCTGAATCTTGTGGTTCAGGCAAGAAAACATTTTGCCCCTGTCTTCTATATGTGTCTGTACCTAACAACAGTGCCTGCACAGGGCTGGAGTGCAGCTCTATGGTAGAGTGCTTGTTCCACACGTGTGAGCCCCTGAGTTTAATCCCAGAACCAAAAAACAAAATCAAACTAAACATCAGTGCTGGCATGCAGTGGAAGCCTGCAAAGTATGTGGGGGATAAATGAATGGATGGCTGACTTTATACTCATCTGGAAAACAACACCATTTCCCCACTTCACTCACAGTACAGCGGCTGGCAAAAAGGAATCCCCTTCTTGTCCCCAGGTACTTTCACCTGGAATTTTGCAAGACAGGCCCTCCAGTACCAATGGGATCTCTTTGGCTTACCACCCACTGATGTCACACCATGTGTCTAGGCAGTTGGGGCTGAAGCTGCTTCCCAAATAAAAGTTCGCATTCACTTCCCAAAACGTTCCCAGTCTCAGCAGAGACTATGGCCTCTAGCCACACAGAAGCAGTATGACCTCCTAGGATAATCCTAGGAACTATAGGGAATGGCCATCTTTCCTCACAGCCTCCTAAGCTCCTTGTCCAATGTCCCCAGATGCTTCTATTCTGCATCATTGGATGTGATTTTATATGCCTAATCCCTGAAACCACAGCTGTCACAAGCATGGACCCTGGTGTAGTATGGTAGTGAAGGGAATAGAATGGTCAGCTGCAGCCTCCCACTCTGCACTCACCCAACCAGCTGAAGCATTGTATACCCTTCTCAACCACAAATACTTCCAGGGACATCACAAAGGCAACTTCTTGTAAGCACAGTTGAGACTAATGATAACCAATCTGAGAGAGACTCAGTACTGATACTTGTTGAGACTAATACCAAACCAGTGTTTGACAGGTCAGAATCAATAGGTGGTACCACTCAGGTAGCAGGAGACACATCTTGTTAGATGTTAGCAACACAGCTTCAACTCTCCCATAGAGGCGCACAGCAATGAATTATCAATACAGCAACTGAACACTCCTCAAATTGAAGAAAATTGCCAAGATGCAGAAATGGCCAGCTTGGAAGGCTGTGATTCTGGTGGGAAATGAGTGTCACTCCGACTGCCCAGGGTCCCAGCAGTATAGTCACTCAAGCATGATGAAGCAGATTATAGGAAAATTGCATCTCAGTGTTTGCTCTCTTCCCGCTGAATGGATTGAGATGGGGAACATTTGTTTTCTCCTATTTCAGCACAGACAACAGACTGCTTAATCAGTTTAGACTGAAGAATGCTTTTATACTGAGTTAAGCATGCACTCATGCAAACACACAAACACACACACACACACACACACACACACTCCAATCTTTCAATCTTTCTGCTTCTCTCTTTCTTTTCTTCTTTTTGTGTCTCTGTATTACTCTCTTTATGTTGAAAGTAAAATTGGTAAGAGTCAATCCTCTAATACATTGTTTTCTTTTGTGTGTTGGCCTTGTGTGTAGTAGGCAAGCATTCTACCATTGAGGTACCACTCCCCCAGACTAATTTTAAGAGAGTTAAAAGTATAACAGCACTATGGATGCTTTAGTATAGATGCTAACTTGCAACAACAAAAAAGACTTAAAATGCAAAGGGCAAGAAAAAGGAAGGCACATCCTGATACACACAGCTTTCGATTTCCAGGGTGCAGTTTTGCTCGTCCAGTGGGTATCTTCTGAGGTCCATCATGCATGCTGCTGTGGTGGTGATCCTGAAACACATAGTGAGGAGAGGCATTAGAGGTGTGCTGAGGAACAGAGGAAGGAAACTGCTTCTAGAAAGACAGGAGTTGCATCCACATGAGCCACCCTTCCCAAAGTCCACCTGAGCAAAGCCTCCCTCAAGGAACACTGAGAGTTTTGAATGCCTAACGAACTCACAGAATGTGCTACTGTAATACGCTTTATCGAGAGAACAATGTTATGCTTAATCTCCCTTCCCTCAAGTGTTCTAAATTGACAAATAAAATGTGTGTGGATTAACGGTGTGTGGAGCAATATTTAGAAGGGTGTACACATGACAGAATGAAAGTGAAGAGTGAACTACAACTGTAATCCAACACTAAGTACATTTTTCTAAGTCATGCAATTATTTAGCCCAAAGTTGCATCCTATTCACTAGAAGAGAGTCTATAATTTACAGTATTACTTTTTACTATTTGTTTTCTTACCTATCTCTCCCAAACAACCTCGAGGCACATACACAGGCATGCACATGTGCCTCCATTGTTAGGGGCACTGTGCTTAGCAGTTTCCCACTCATTGAGATACTCTGCAGAGTCTGAGTGACAATTATGAAAACTGGATGGGAAAGCCTTATAAGTGAGGGAGTATGTCCTTCTCTCCAACAACTCGTTCTGCCATCTAGGATTTATTCAGATCCTCCCATTTTGGTGTAATTATAGTCCTTTTCATCTATTGACTTGAGAAATAATGGAAAATGTGTGTTCACTATTTTTCTCTCTTTGGAAGAAATACTGAGAAAACCCCATGAGTGTAGGGAACAAGACCCAAGTACCTGCAAGCTGTAACAGGAAAGCATACAAGTGAGGAGTCCAAGAAAAAACCAGGCTCAGTTGGGGGTTGGGTGGCAGGAGAAAGGAGAAAGAAGGGTGGGGGCAAAGGATGGTGTGGGGCAGGAAGAGAGAGGGCAAGGTTCTGCAGCATGGCAGAGCCTAGCTCAACTCTCACAGGCTAAGCAAGTAACCAGAGTGGCTGAGGGAAACTTGCACCACTGTGCCCTAGCAGAAATGAGTAGGGCAGAGAGTTTCAGACTGCAGACTTGAGAGCTCAAGCCTCATGAATGGAGCTTGTCCAGTTTTATAAGCCCTTGTGGCATCTGGCTCTACAATCCACAATCTTCTCACCCATGTCTTTCTTCCCACCTCTTTCTTCTTTTATCCCTCTTTTTTCTCTCTCAATTTCTTTTCTCTCCCCCTCTTCTCTTTCTTTTCTTGTCCTGAGAAGAGAATGATCAACATTAAGTGCCCCTTCCACAGCTGACTGTAGTCTGTGAGCTACACTTATTTCTGAGGAATAATTTTTATTTTATAATTTAAATTTTAATCATTTATTATTTTATTAAATTTTTTCAATGATTCAACTAATTGAAATCAAGTTTCACTGGTGTTAACTGTCAACTTTACCAAAGTTAGAGTCACCTGAGAGATGGGCCTCTAAACTTGTCTGTGATTGATTGTTCTTAACTGGGTTACTTAAGGTGTGAAGACCCACCCTGTAAGTGGGATGAACTATTTCATAGGCTGGACTCTGGACTGAATGAAAGAAGAGAGAGAGCCATGTAAGTACTGGCATTCGGACTGCAGATGCAATGTGGACTTGAACCCTGAACTTTGAGTTAAAAGAAACTCCTTCTCTTACGTTGCTTGTGTCTATGTGTTTTATCACAGCAACAGGAAAAGACACCAAGACAGTGAGGCTCTCTGCAGTATTAATCTTTAACAGATCATTTTTTGAAGGTTTTCCTTTTTTTTTTTCTTTTTGGCTGAGACACAGAATTGAGTGGACTCTTCCTGGTTTCAGTGAATACTTCTGATAGTAAAGCAGGGGAACATGGACAAATGGTGGGAAATGTGATGGTGGCTGTCCTGGACTGTGAGATGCTAAATCCATCCCCACCTAACTGACAACCTACTCCCCCTGTTCTCTCTCTCTCTCTCTCTCTCTCTCTCTCTCTCTCTCTGGATATAAATAATTATATACATATATAATGTTCTCTTTCCTTCCTTCCTTCATTATCTTTCTTTCTTCTTTCTTCCTTATTAATGTTCTTTGAGTGGTTTTTGTACTAGGACGTCAGCCAGCTCTAGCTGTGTTTAGGTCTGTGCCATGTACTTAAACTTTCACCATTTCACCAACTTCTTATTAAAGTCTTTTATTATTTTTAGCTATTATTATCATTCCCATTTGCAGATGAGCAAACAAAGGTAAGAGAATGCCAGCTGCTCGGCATAACCCCGCACTCTTAGAAGGCAGAGAAACCTCAGATGCAGGCAGCTTGTACTGTGTACCCTAGTGAATCTTTGTGCCTTTCTTTACCTTTGTATTAATTTCTTAAATTCCCCCAAATACTGAAGAAGACAGATGTGAGTATTAATTGTGATGTTCCTGGCTGAATAGGTGCTGATCTTGCCAACGCTCTCAAATACAGCCAGAATCAAAGAACTCTGGTCCTGTAGTCTCTCCTCACCTTGCCCCACGTAAATGAGTTCATTGCATTATGCACCATTTGCAAAAGGGCACATACATTTGACTATTGGCTGGCTGTGGCTTTGCCTACTTTGGTTTGAGTCTATTAAGTCAGAGCTTAGCCTGTCCTGCCCACAGCCATCTTTTGGTACCAGAACAGTCCCTCCCACAGCAAGTGACCCACAAAAATTTACAGAATAAATGACTTTGGAGATTAAGGGACCAAAGTAGGTTGGAACTGTTGCCAGAGAAAGCTATCCTGGCCCTTCTTGGTTTTGAGGTGATGGATATGAGTCAGCAGGGGACACTTGCCCACTCTTGGGAAGTCAAGCACTCTTTTTTTGTTTGTCTGTGTTTCGAGACAGGGTTTTTCTGAATTGTTTTGGAGCCTGTCCTGGAACTAGCTCTGTAGACCAGGCTGGCCTCGAACTCTCAGAGATCTGCCTGTCTCTGCCTCCCCTTCCCACCCCCGCACCCAGTGCTGGGATTAAAGGCGTGTACTACCAACACCCAGTGAAGTCAAGCACTCTTGGCAAGAGCCCTGAACCCCTTTAGTTGTCATGGGTTCAGTTTTCAAGAGTGGTTCACTGTTCAAGAGACTCAGGTGAGCCCCTGCTTCCAAGATCAAGAGACTGCTGAGAATCATTTGTTGAAGAGGGAAACCCTGCAGAATCTAGTCTACTGCCTGCCATCAGCTGGACAGCTTCAGCTCAGTGAAGACCACAGCGAAACTGGCCTTTGGCTCTGATTTCAACCTTGTCACAATGACAGAACCAGCAATGGATCAGCACGAAGTGTTCTAGAATGCAGACAAGCATCTCTATCTGTAGCAGAGGCAGCACCACATGGCAGCTGTTGATCTCCAGGTAACCACTACTCCCAATCCCTTTCAGCTGCCTGTGCCCATCTCTCACTGATCTACATTCCAGACTGTCTCAACACCAGATGCTTTAGGTAACAGAGGCAATTGCTATTTTTTGGAGGTCTAGGAGCTCAGGGGCTTAGGCTGAGCACCTATACATTCTTCTTAAGCAAGTATTTACATAGAAATGTAGAGGTCACTGAGCATAAGCCAATGATTCAGTTATCCAACCTTTTGTTGTGTTTTATACAGTACATAGGGAAATACATTTACAGGAAAGTCTAAAGCTTTTTGCTGTGGAGACTCCTCGAGGATGTTCCTGGGAAAATCACTAGAGCAAACTGAGTCTGTGATAGCCCTGGCCCCACATCCTAGATGAGCCTCACTACAGAGACATTCTTTGTCTGTCTCTCAACTACTGTTCAAGCCTGTAACTTGCTTTGTCTGGTGGGTAGTAGATGGGACAGCTTGATAGTCACAAGAGTAACTGGTCTCTTTTGCCTCTTCCTCTAACATGAGAAAGCTATGCCAGGTGAATCCATTGGTCCAGGAGAATTGACCCAGGGACAGGATTGAGGTCCACTAACTACTCAGAGACCACCTTAGTGGGCTAGCTAATACTCAGCCTGTGGGGGAGATAGCCAAGGCTATCAGACATACTTGTTAATCCCCTAGAATGAGCACTGCACACTTACCATGTGCATTAAGTTTTCTAGTTGCCTGTTGCACTGCAGTGGTGCAGCAGTTGGTAACTGCTCCTTAGTGGAGTTTTTTCCTAAAACATAGGTATCTGATTCTGCATTGAAGCAATAGAGACAGTGCCTTTATGCTCTTCAGGAGGAGGAGTCACTTCTGGAGGAGGAGACAGGCTAATTCCTCTCCTAGCCTTTTGTAAATGATCTGAGGGCAGAGCTACAGAAAGGAACAAAGCAGCGTTGTGCTGAAAGACAAAATGAAGAGCATAGTATTCCTCAACTCCCTCCCAGGAAATAGCTAACTAGGACCCAATACCAAGGAATTCTTGGGGAAAATACTCCAGGCTCAGCACTCTAGAGAAAGGGCAGATAAGTTTGAAAGAATCTGAAAGGCAGTGTGTGTCCCTCCTACTATCTTGATCTGATTAAGATGCCTAGGGGTGAGTCTAAAGCACACTATCCATCACTATGTTGCTGTATCTATGATGCTTGGGGGCTGCTTGTCTGTGTTTTCTGTGTCCTTTGATGCCCAGATTTCCTTGAACATTGCAGTTTCCCAACTTTTCTGTTTCATTTTTCCTCTTGCTTGCGCTTTTGGTGTCATAACTGAAAGTCAGTGCCATGATCAATGTCATGCAAGCATTCCTATTTTCTTCTAAGAGTTGTTTAATTTTAACTCTTAAGATTTGGATCCACTGAGTTGACTTCTGTCGTTCTAAAGTCACTCCTTCATGTACATTTTCCAGTATTTCCCAGCATCAATTCTTAAGAAGACTTCCTACTATCCCATGAAAAATCTGCTGGGATTCTTGTCAAAATTCATTGCATGGAGTTGGAGAAATGACTCAGCAGTTAAGAGTACTTGTTCTTGCAATAGACCTAGTGTTCAATTCCCGGCACTTACATGGTGACTCAAGGCTGCCTGTAACTCCAATTCCAGAGTATC